TTATGTACCTCCGAAAGGAGAGTATATTTATTATAAGATAAATTCGGGAGGAAGAATAATTTCTTTTAACAATTAATTAATTTAAATAAAACAAATCAAGCATATTAGATTTCCATCCTTTAATATCTTTATCTAACAATTCACAATATTCATATATATCAATTAATATTAATTAAACAATGAATATAATTTACACAAATAATTCATGCTTTGTGTCCTAAACTACCCGAACTTTAGCATTAATAGTAGCTACGCACGGAATCTCGTCACCCCGTGCGTACGTAGCCTCCGCAATTAACAATAATTATTCAATTTAATCCCTATGGGGTAATTTTTCCCTCACAAGATTAGACAAGAGACTTACCTCGTCTCAAAGTTCACTTTCCGATTACCACGCCACGTTGAATTTTTGATTCGACGCCGAAAGATCTTAAACTATCCAAATATTATACACAATAATTAATATATGCTAAATGATACAAAATTTATCTATTATATAAATTACCTTATCCAAAATGGTAAAATTTCTAAAATTCACCCTGGGCCCACGTGCTCGAATTCTGAAAATTTTTGGATGAAAACGTTACCCATAATCTCAAGAACTTTAATATATAATTTCTACCCAATTCCATAACTATTTTCATGGTTAAAATCTCATTTTTATAAAAATCTAGGTTTTTCACTTAAACCCTTAATTTCTAAGATTTACTAGTTATAATCTACACATAATCTATGTATTTAACTCAAGAGGTGTAGAATTAACTTACCTTCCAATTGCTAGTTGAAATTCCCCTCTCAAAAGCTCTGAAATCACTCGGAAATAGAGGGAAAATGGGCTCAAAAAGTCTGAGCCCCGACTTTTTAACCATTCTTCCCAACATGCATTTCCGCACCTGCGGACAGTATACTGCACCTGCGGCTTTCGCACCTGCAGAAAATCCTCGCAGGTGCGAGTTTCACTTGCCTGGGCCAAGGTCGCTTCTGCGCACCCTTCTTCGCACCTGCGCGTTCGCAGGTGCGCAAATTCTCCGCATCTGCGGTCCACTGCCCCTCCCCCTTTTTCTCTTCTACGCACAAGAACTCGCATCTGCGAGGTTCGCTCCTGCGAGCTACTGCCGCACCTGAGAATGTCGCACCTGCGGCTGACCAAGCGTAGGTGCAATTTTGACAGTAGCTGGGAACTTCAGTTCTGGCTCCCAATTTTCAACTTGGTCTGAGCCTCGTCCGATTGACACTCGGGGTCCCCGGGACCCCGCCCGAACATACCAACAAGTTTGAAATCATAAAACTGCTCGAACTCTCGGAATGCATAAAACAACATCAAATCTAAGAATCATACCCTAAACCAAATTGATTCAAACTTAAGAATTTCAAGTTCTTCAATTTACTTCCAATGCGCCAAAATATACTTAAACTACTCGGAATGACATGAAATTTTGCGTGCAAGTCTTAAATCACTATACGGAACTATTCCCAAACTCGAAATTCCAAACGGTCTTCAATTACTCAAAATCCTACTACAAACCAAATTTAAAGACTTTTAAACCTTCAAATAGTTGATTTTTACTATTAAGCGTCAAAATGCTCCCGGTTTATCCAAACACCGATTCGGACATACGCCCAAGTCCAAAATTATCATACGAACCTATTGGAATCGTCAAATCCCAATTCCGGGGTCGTTTTTTTAAAATATTGACCAAAGTCAAACTTGTTCATTTAAACCTAACTTAAGAAATCAAGTGTTCCGATTTCAACCCACACACTTTCAAATCCCGAACCAACCATCCCCGTGAGTCATAAATTAATAAAAGCATGTTCGAAAAGTTTTATTTTAGAGAACGGGTTTATAAAAGTTAAAATGATCGGTTGGGTCATTACAGATTATTTAGCACTAGAATAAAGTAGTCAACTTTTATACAAATAGTGTGAAACTCCTTTTGAGAAACATCTTTCTTCTAGACATCAAAAAAGTAATAGAGAGAGGCATAAAAAGATTAAAGAAAATGGAGAGGGGGATAAGATATCTCATTAGCACGAAGCAAATCACCCTCTTTATCCTGATAGCTAAGTTTATAAGCATTATTATTTTCTTGACATGTTGTGTCAAGGACTGCTAGCGGTTTGTGTTGTGTTCACACTTTTGCATAGTATTTGTGTTATTGCTCTTCCATTTATTTGTTGTCTCTCACGTTGCTGATACTATTTTTCTGATTTCTGTTGTTGTTACGGATCTTTTGTCTCTGAGCCGAGGTCTCCCGGAAACAGCCTTTCTACCCCTCCGGGGTAGGGGTAAGGTATGCGTACACTTTACCCTCCCCAGACCCCACTAGTGGGATTCTACTGGATTGTTGTTGTTGTATTAAAATAAGTATTGCAATAAATTTTTCCCCAAAAACATTAATAAAAAGTTCCAAAAATCCTTCTGCCTTCAAGAATCACTTGGACAAAGTAGCAGATATCGGTCGATTCAACGGTAATGACCGACACTCTGCTTGGACTGCTTAACAATCCTTTAATCTTGATGTTATTAGACTAAGTTTATGATATTTTTAAACATCCTTTCGGTCACTGACTCAAAATCATTAAGTTTTCAAGGAGTTAACACGTCATATTTTATCATTACTAGCTGACATATCTATGTCAATAACGGTTCTCCTGCTGCGCTTAAATCCTGGATTGGCCTCTGGCTAGTAAGCATAATTGTTTTAATAAGTAATGTTAGCTTTTATAGATGTACGGCCAGCACCAAGAGTGCTGGTATATAGTGAGCCAAATTTCTAGTATTTCTGTTAGTTAAAACACAGTGTGCAGTGAGCTAAAAAAAAATAAATATCAAGCACGGCCTCTGCATCCTGAGTCGCATTTGCATCGGCCATGTTGTCCCAAAAAGAAAGCAAAAGTATTCATTTGAACTTAAAATTAACAATATTCTCCTTTTTGTCTTCTAAAATTCTAGTTTTCCAAATAGTTGCGGGAATGACATTCCATAGTGTTGTGCATATGCCTCTCTGCCCCCTAACATCCTACCCCGGTAGAATATCCAAAACAGTTCTAGGCATATGGTCCATTTGAGGCCCAAAAGAGTGAGAAACATGTCCCACAACTTGGTTCGAGCTTTGCCACGGTCAAAAACCTGATATTAAGTGGAGAAGGATAGAAGAGCGAACCATTTTTCCATCGAGTTTCGAACCGTGCACCACTAACCCTCTGGGATATCTATGTTATATGACTTTTTAAAGACAAATACAGTTTTTGGACTAAAGTTACTAGATTTGCTCGAATCCGTACCTTGGTATCCAACTCCACTCTTGCCACTGTAGACAGTCTTCCTTATTAGGACTAATGGACAAAGCTCCAATTTGTTGAAGCAAGAAAACATGATCCTGAAGTGGATCTTAAACTGGATTCTTGAAATTCCAAGTCTTGCTTTAGAAGGCACTTTAAAATATATCGTACAAAAGAAAGAAAAGAAACCAAATCTCTACAAATATTTTTGGAGATTTTGGTAGCCTACACAGATTCATGTGATGTATGGCGATCTGCAAGCATCCAATTCGAGATGGGCACCGAGTTTCGCAAACTATTCACTCTCACCTCCTGAATGTATTTCATACTATGTATTTGCTTCTACACATAAGTACACATACGTATATAAACGTATTTAATGTATGTAAATCAATCTCTAGATTAGTAAGACATGTCAAATAAAGAGAATTGAATGTCTTTTTATCGGATAAAAGGAGACTTTTATTTTATTTTTATAAATGGATTTAATGTAATCTTTAGTTTAAATTGGATTTAGGGTAGAGAGAAAGAGGGTTTTCGTGAGAAGTAGAGCTCAGAAATGTTTGCTGCAGAGATATATATACATGTACTGAATTTAAGTAATATGTTAGCGAGGAAATGCCGAAATTTACACTTCTATTATAGGAAATAGGGTTTGACGACTGTCTCAGTCTTGGGAGCAAATAGTCGAGATGCATACAAGTTAATACCAACATCAATCCACAAAATAATTGTGTTGTTACGCCATTCTATTTTAAAACAACGGAAGTGTAGATATACCCGAGTTTTAGGCCACCATTGAACTTTACCCTCATTGCACAAAAATTTGTAATTTTATCCACTTTGGACACACACCAAACATCGCATCTGAAGTTCCAAGAATTCGCGTATGAAGTAAGAAGTGTTCGTGTCTAAAGTTCTCTTGATACCGCAAATTTCAGATGCGAAGTTACAAATTTCGGATAATGTTCGCATATGAAGTTCTCGCCCGACAGTGCAAACTTCAAACAATCACATCTAAAGTTACGTCGTGTAAACTTCAAAGTGCAATTAAGACTAATTAGTTTGAAGTGCAGCTAAATATTTGCATGCACTTAAGATGAATTAGACTAAGACTAATTAGTATGATGTGCAAATTGCCAGGAAATAGAAGCTTGTTCTTCGAATTTCAATAATCCAACACACGATTCAATGCCAAAATCTACTCCAAATAAGCTCAAATTTAAAATATAACTTTCAAATATCAAAAAAAACAAATCTCAATCATTAATTTGTCAAAACAACAACAAATCTAACTAGTCTATATTGCAACTAAGAAAAAGAAGGAGAAGAAACCCTAAGCATAACAAAGAAAGGAGCGCCATAGTAGCTCACTACTATTAAAGCACCTTAAAACCTGCTCACAAACGCCATATAAATCCATCGTCGCCTCTATTTTCACATTAACTAAAAAGGAGGAGGAGGAGGAGGAAAAGCAGAGAAGAAGCAACTTGTCCTGAAGTTATCTTACTTGGAATTGGGATACCAGTTAAACTTTTTTTTAAAAGTAAGTTCAAATTACATGGGAGCGATCAAATAGGGCACTGCATGATTTTTTTACAAATAAAACTGATGACTTGGTTTCATTTGTAGCATTCAGCTGCTATATGTACTGAAACCCAAATAGTATTGTTGTCATAAGGAAAAACGTAAACTAAACAGAAGAAAACACAACAAAAAGGTAAATTTTCCTCCCCATGTTTCATTTAGCTCATTAGATCCTTTTACTTACCAATCATAAAGTTGAACTTAACGAGGGGAAGTACCTTAAATAATTATGAGTCACTAGAGTTTCGCAAAATCCCTATCTACAATGAACAAAATATGCAATGCAGTTTACATTTGATGCTTCCAATTATGAAATACCTTTTCCATAAGACTACCTTGGACATAGTTCAGTAATTGATTCTTGGAGAATAGGCAATGGAATGGATTTGTTTGTGAGTTGATTTATCGTTTTCATTCCTGCATAAGCCTTGAAAGATGTAGGTGGATTTGGCTCTGGCAAAGTAGCAGAATCAGTACTGAGAATATGAGCTATCAAAGCAGTTGTTGGTCTTTCGTCGACTTCATTTTGAACGCATAACAGTCCAATATGTAAACATTTCACAACTTCAGACAACGACTTTGAGTCACCATTAATAAGAGTTGGATCTACAAATTCCATAGCTCTGTCATCTTTCCATAGCTTCCAAGCCTATAGATACAGAGGTTCATCTCAGGTTCAAAAGTCACGTTTAAAAGAAAATCACTGACTGTTAAACTTTTATTTACGCTGTTAGTATAAGGTAAAATATTACTTGTTATTGATTAAAAATAGATTTTGAACATCCTTACATAGCCCACTGGCAAAGGTTTGAACACCCTTGTTGAATTTTCTGGATTCGCCACGGACTAGGAGCGACAAACGGGCGGGTCGGGTTGGATATGGTTCGGGTCGAAAACGGATAATGAAAAAAATTATCCGACCCGACCCATATTTAATACGGATAAAAAACAGGTTAACCAACGGATAATATGGGTAGCCATATTATCCATGATTTCTTGAATATCAACACTTTTTGGAGAATTCCTAGACTCCCAAATTTGAGGAATCCCCAATTTGAGGTTTTACAAATGTAAAAGTTAAACTCATTAGTTATCCATTGGTTATCCATTTTCTAAATAGATAATATGGTTCTTATCCATATTTGATCCATTTTTAAAAAGTTCATTATCAAACCCATTTTTTAGTGGATAATATGGGTGGCTAACTGTGTTCTTTTAACCATTTTGCCACACCTAGTATGAACTAGTAGTTGTGCCCGCGCGATGCGCGATTTATATTAATTAAATTAAATTATGATCGGACTTGTTTGAACATATTAGATCGTATTGCTTTAATAAATTTCAATTTCATCTTATTTATCAATATGATATACCCAATAATAAAATCTTTTTTGTCTGCATGCTTTCTTTTTGTAATATAAGAAGATATATATTTTATTAATGTTGAAATATTTTTTATTTTAAATTTTATTCTGTTGTTGTCAATAATATTATCTGAATTTTAATGAATAAAATCTCTATTAAATTAAAGAGACTTATATAGTCAATTAGTTATTTTTTGTTATGTATTTTTCTTTATTATATTATTCAATATTTAATATAATTGTATTGTTAATAGAAATTTTTATTAGCATATTACTTTGTTTAATATTTTTGTCTACCACTTTGTTTTGTAATATAATAGAAGATATATATTTTATTACTCTTGAAATACTATTTTTAATTTTATTTTATTCCAATGTTCTCAATAATATTTTCTGAATTTTAATGAATAAAAGCACTATTAAATTAAAGAGACTTGTATAGTCATTGAATAACTTTTTTGTTCTATATTTTTTTTTTATTGTACATATCCAATATTTAGTATTTTTACATTAGTAATAGAAATTTTTATTAGCATATTACTTTGTTTAATATTTTTGTGTACTATACTTTCCTTTTGTAATATAATAGAAGATATATATTTTAGTACTCTTTAAATATTTTTTATTTTAAATTTTATCCTATTGTTCTCAATAATATTATCTGAACTTTAATGAATAAAATCTCTATTAAATTAAAGAGACTTACATAGTTATCGAATAACTTTTTATTTTGTATTTTTCTTTATTATATTATCCATATTTAGTATTATTTCATTGTTAATAGAAACTTTTAATAGCATATTACTTTATTTAAATTTTTGTATGCTACTTTCTTTTAATGATATAATAGAAGATATATATTTTTATAATTTATATTTTATTCTATTATTCTCAATAATATTTTCTGAATAAATTAACTTTGTAGTTTTAAAAAGAAAAACAAAAATTATTAAGGAAAACAAAGAAATTTTGAATTGGCATTATTTTTCGTAATTTTAGTTTTTTATTTTAAAATAAATTAAAAACTCCAACTTGAAACTACCCTCCAATTTGAATGGACAGTTGTTTTTGTTAAATTTCGTTTTTTATTATAAAATATTATATTTTATTATTTTATCAATATTTAAATATAAAAATAATAACCAATAACTAATTATTAACTACTAATGCCTTGTGGCTTTTTCCTAGGCTATCACTTGGCTTAAGAAGATGACTTTTTCCTCTCATTTTAATAATATATAGATATAGATTGTTCTCAATAATATTATTTGAACTTTAATGAATAAAATCTCTATTAAATTAAAGAGACTTATTATAGTCATCGAATAACTTTTTTATTTTATATTTTTCTTTATTATATTATCCATATTTAGTATTATTTCATTGTTAATAGAAACTTTTATTAGCATATTACTTTATTTAAATTTTTGTATGCTACTTTCTTCTAATGATATAATAGAAGATATATGTTTTTATAATTTATATTTTATTCTATTATTCTCAATAATATTTTCTGAATAAATTAAATTTGTAGTTTTAAAAAGAAAAACAAAAATTATTAGGAAAACAAAGAAATTTTGAATTGGCATTATTTTTCTTAATTTTAGTTTTTTATTTTAAAATAAATTAAAAACTCCAAATTGAAATTACCCTCCAAATTGAATGAACAGTTGTTTTTGTTAATTTTTATTTTTTATTATAAAATATTCTATTTTATTATTTTATAAATATTTAAATACAAAAATAATAACCAATAACTAATTATTAACTACTTATGCCATGTGGCCTTTTTTTAGGCTACTACTTGGCTTAAGGAGGGGGCTATTTCCTCTCCTTTTAATAATATATAGATTGTTCTCAATAATATTATCTGAACTTTAATGAATAAAATCTCCATTAAATTAAAGAGACTTATTTAGTCATCTAATAACTTTTTTGTTTTGTATTTTTCTTTATTATACTATCCTTATTTAGTATTATTTCATTGTTAATAGAAACTTTTATTAGCATATTACTTTATTTAAATTTTTGTATGCTACTTTTTTTTTGTAATATAATAGAAGATATATATTTTATTACTCTTGAAATACTGTTTTTATTTTAATATTATTCCAATGTTCTAAATAATATTGTCTGAATTTTAATGAATAAATAACTTTTTTGTTCTATATTGTTTTTTATTATACTTATCCTATATTTAGTATTTTTACATTGGTAATAGAAATTTTTATTAGCATATTACTTTGTTTAATATTTTTATTTACTATACTTTCTTATTGTAATATAATAAAAAATATATATTTTAGTACTCTTTAAATATTTTTTATTTTAAATTTTAACATATTGTTCTCAATAATATTATCTGAACTTTAATGAATAAAATCTCCATTAAATTAAAGAGACTTATTTAGTCATCGAATAGCTTTTTTGTTTTGTATTTTTCTTTATTATACTATCCATATTTAGTATTATTTCATTGTTAATAGAAACGTTTATTAGCATATTACTTTATTTAAATTTTTGTATGCTACTTTTTTTTTGTAATATAATAGAAGATATATATTTTATTACTCTTGAAATACTGTTTTTATTTTAATATTATTCCAACGTTCTGATTAATATTATCTGAATTTTAATGAATAAAAGCTCGATTAAATTAAAGAGACTTGTATAGTCATTGAATAACTTTTTTGTTCTATATTGTTTTTATTATACTTATCCTATATTTAGTATTTTTACATTGGTAATAGAAAGGTTTATTAGCATATTACTTTGTTTAATATTTTTATCTACTATACTTCTTTTTGTAATATAATAGAAGATATATATTTTAGTACTCTTTAAATATTTTTTATTTTAAATTTTATCCTATTGTTATGAATAACATTATCTGAACTTTAATGAATAAAATCTCCATTAAATTAAAGAGACTTATTTAGTCATCGAATACTTTTTTGTTTTGTATTTTTCTTTATTATACTATTTATATTTAGTATTATTTCATTGTTAATAGAAACGTTTATTAGCATATTACTTTATTTAAATTTTTGTATGCTACTTTTTTTTATAATATAATAGAAGATATATATTTTATTACTCTTGAAATTCTATTTTTATTTTAATATTATTCCAATGTTCTGATTAATATTTTCTGAATTTTAATGAATAAAAGCTCTATTAAATTAAAGAGACTTGTATAATCATTGAACAACTTTTTTGTTCTATATTTTTTTTTATTATACTTATCCTATATTTAGTATTTTTACATTGGTAATAGAAATTTTTATTAGCATATTACTTTGTATAATATTTTTATCTTCTATACTTTCTTTTTGTAATATAATAGAAGATATATATTTTAGTACTCTTTAAATATTTTTTATTTTAAATTATATCCTATTGTTCTCAATAATATTATCTGAACTTTAATGAATAAAATCTCCATTAAATTAAAGAGACTTATTTAGTCATTAAATAACTTTTTTGTTTTGTGTTTTTCTTTATTATACTATTCATATTTAGTATTATTTCATTGTTAATAGAAACTTTTATTAGCATATTACTTTATTTAAATTTTCGTATGCTACTTTTTTTTTTTGTAATATAATAGAAAATATATATTTTATTACTCTTGAAATACTCTTTTTATTTTAATATTATTCCAATGTTCTGATTAATATTGTTTGAGTTTTAATGAATAAAAGCTCTATTAAATTAAAGAGACTTGTGTAGTCATTGAATAACTTTTTTATTCTATATTGTTTTTATTATACTTATCCTATATTTAGTATTTTTACATTGGTAATAAAAATGTTTATTAGCATATTACTTTGTTTAATATTTTTATCTACTATACTTCTTTTTGTAATATAATAGAAGATATATATTTTAGTACTCTTTAAATATTTTTTATTTTAAATTTTATCCTATTGTTATCAATAACATTATCTGAACTTTAATGAATAAAATCTCCATTAAATTAAAGAGACTTATTTAGTCATCGAATAGATTTTTTGTTTTGTATTTTTCTTTATTATACTATCCATATTTAGTATTATTTCATTGTTAATAGAAACGTTTATTAGCATATTACTTTATTTAAATTTTTGTATGCGACTTTTTTTTTTTGTAATATAATAGAAGATATATATTTTATTACTCTTGAAATACTGTTTTTATTTTAATATTATTTCAATGTTCTGATTAATATTATCTGAATTTTAATGAATAAAAGCTTTATTAAATTAAAGAGACTTGTATAGTCATTGAATAACTTTTTTGTTCTATATTATTTTTATTATACTTATCATATATTTAGTATTTTTACATTGGTAATAGAAATGTTTATTAGCATATTACTTTGTTTAATATTTTTATCTACTATACTTCTTTTTGTAATATAATAGAAGATATATATTTTAGTACTCTTTAAATATTTTTTATTTTAAATTTTATCCTATTGTTATCAATAACATTATCTGAACTTTAATGAATAAAATCTCCATTAAATTAAAGAGACTTATTTAGTCATCGAATAGATTTTTTGTTTTGTATTTTTCTTTATTATACTATCCATATTTAGTATTATTTCATTGTTAATAGAAACGTTTATTAGCATATTACTTTATTTAAATTTTTGTATGCTACTTTTTTTTTGTAATATAATAGAAGATATATATTTTATTAGTCTTGAAATACTATTTTTATTTTAATATTATTCCAATGTTCTGATTAATATTGTCTGAATTTTAATGAATAAAAGCTCTATTAAATTAAAGAGACTTGTATAATCATTGAACAACTTTTTTGTTCTATATTTTTTTTAATATACTTATCCTATATTTAGTATTTTTACATTGGTAATAGAAATTTTTATTAGCATATTACTTTGTATAATATTTTTATCTACTATACTTTCTTTTTGTAATATAATAGAAGATATATATTTTAGTACTCTTTAAATATTTTTTATTTTAAATTATATCCTATTGTTCTCAATAATATTATCTGAACTTTAATGAATAAAATATCCATTAAATTAAAGAGACTTATTTAGTCATTGAATAACTTTTTTGTTTTGTATTTTTCTTTATTATACTATTCATATTTAGTATTATTTCATTGTTAATAGAAACTTTTATTAGCATATTACTTTATTTAAATTTTTGTATGCGACTTTTTTTTTTTGTAATATAATAGAAGATATATATTTTATAATTTATATTTTATTCTATTATTCTCAATAATATTTTCTGAATAAATAAACTTTGTAGTTTGAAAAAGAAAAAGAAAAATTATTAAGGAAAACAAAGAAATTTTGAATTGGCATTATGTTTTGTAATTTTAGTTTTTTATTTTAAAATAATTTAAAAACTCCAACTTCAAACTACCCTCCAATTTGAATGAACAGTTATTTTTGTTAATTTTCGTTTTTTATTATAAAATATTTTATTTTATTATATTATAAATATTTAAATACAAAAACAATAACCAATAACTAATTATTAACTACTTATGCCATGTGATTTTTTTTTAGGCTACCACTTGGCTTAAGGAGAAGACTTTTTCCTCTCCTTTTAATAATATATAGATATAGATTAACCGCTTATAACAGATTATTACTCTAGTTTTTAGATTATCGTATCAGGCTTACTATGAAGGGTAGCCCGCTGTGTACGTAAAATTAACCTTGATTGCGCAAGAAAAACTTTAAAATAATCTAATGATGTAGGATGATAAAGGATAAGATATTTCCGCATCTTATTAGAGGGAGTAAAATTGAAATATACACTAAAATTTAAATAGCAAATAGAGGGAGTTTTACAATATTAATTAACACTTACGTGGGTAAGAAGGTCATGCAATCCATCTTCTTGATAAAGAGTTCTTATTGTCTTTCCGCTTATTATCTCCAAAAGAAGCACACCAAAACTGAATACATCAGACTTCACAGAGAATTGACCATGCATTGCATATTCTGGGGACATGTAACTACTAACAAAGAAAAATAAATCTCATTAATATAGTTCTAGAAGCACCGACGATTCATAACATTTCAAGTTAAATTTAACCCTATATTAAGAACTATTGGTGAGAATTTAATCCTTCACGGTGTAGCTATTAGATAGCAATAGAAATAGAATATTATGGACGTATAAAAGAGAGGAAAGGTACATTAATATCTAAAGTTGTTGCGGAAAATAAACTCTTACTATGTCCCAACAATTATGTTAGTGCTTCCTTCAGTTTGATCAACTCCAAAAATTCTAGCCATGCCGAAATCTGAAATTTTTGGGTTCATATCTTTGTCTAACAATATATTGCTTGCTTTGAGATCACGATGTATGATTCGAGGACGAGAATCTTCATGAAGATAAACTAATCCTCGTACTATTCCTCTAATAATCTTGTCACGTACTGACCAATTCAATAATGCCTGCTTCTTCGTGTCTTTATCCTCAGCAAGATGAATATTTCAAGTTAGATAGAACATCTCTGTAGAGAGCTTATAGTAGGCATGAGAATATATAGAAGACAATACCAATGACCAGTGGCGAAGTCCTTACCAGGAGGATTGACAAAAATGTAAAATTGCCACACTTAAGATTTAGACCTCCTACAACAACAATAACAACAACCCAGTATAGTCCCACAAGTAGGGTTTGGGGAGGGTAGTGTGTACGCAGACCTTACTTCTACCCCGATGGGATAGAGAGGCTGTTTCCGAAAGATCCTCGGCTCAAGAAGACGAAAAGAAAGATTCAGACCTATAACCTAAAACAAATTTTGAACCACCTTGTCCTTATACTAAAATCAGCCCTTACATTAAAAGGATTCAACAATTTATATATAAACAAAAATGATTTTTTTTGCGTACCCTAATTCTCCGGTATAGTTTTTCAAAAAATGTGTGATTGAAGTGAACCCCTTCGGACCATTCTTACCCAAATGTTTCTGGCTTATTAACTTGAACGAGGTGTAGATAACTCAAGATATCCATAGTAGAAGATGCAGGAAATTTTTAAAGAAAGAAAATGAATCTAACTACATAAAAACCAACCAACCAAATAAAAAGTAGTCGAGGCTTTTGTTTGGCACGAACTCGTAGATGAGTATCTTTTCTTCCCCTTCCAAGCAAAAACCGAGTAGTCTCACTAAATTTCTGTGTTGAAGCTTTGCTACGAGTACAACCTCATTCTTAAATTCTTCTACACCTTGGCTTGACCTTCTTGATAGCCTTTTTACGGCTATTTCTTGTCCAGTAATAAGTTCCCCCTGAAAGTAACAATATATGAATGAAATATTTTGGTTTTACAAATGAGTTTACCTTCTAGGCATTGTAAAAAAAAAAATTCATACTATTACCTAAAATACAACTACAGGTACTAATCCATAAAGATGACTAATAACCTGGAAAATGAGATAGATTACCTGCTAAGTCATGTTAAAATACACTCATAGTGTAAGATATTTTTACATTATCAGTCTATAAGTTAAATCCTTGACAAAAATCATGCCTGGAGTCATGAATCTGAAATGACTGACTTTACCTTATACACATCACCGAATCCACCTTTACCGATTTCATTTTGCGCAGAGAAGCAGTTTGTGGCTGTTTCTATTGTACTAAAGTCATATTGCAAGGATTCAGCTGTTACAATCCCACTCAAGAGATCATCTATAAAATAAAATAAAAAAAAGGGTAAGGTTAGTGAACGAGTTAAATTGTACTAATTAAAGTCATAAGAGTCGTCGGATTTTACCACTCAGCTCCATTTTTGGAGCTTTGCTTTTCTTCATTCTCCACCGTCGCAAAAGAAAGATTCCACTGAATAGTAGAATCAACACAATGAGAACTATTGTGCCAACAATTACTTTCTTTCTCATTTTATCGTGATGACCTACATCAAAATATCGATCCTGATGAAAACCTTGACTATATATCATCAACCACAACGATATAAAGTTGGGGATATCCCAAAATTGTAGTATGATATTGTTCCTCGAATAGTATTTTCTTTATAGTATAAATTTTAAAGGTTGTATACAGTTTTTGAAGTACTTTATTCCAGATTACATTACATATCTAATGAACAGAAGAAAACTAGTCATCGTCTCCATACTATATATCTGGCATATCAATATTAGTAAACTCAACCTTTACTTTTGGACGGAGGCGGAGCAAGAGGAGGCACAGGTACTGTTTTGGTTGTGTAGAAAGAATACACTTCATACCTGCAGTAGCAGAGTCAGGGAACTCAAAAAGAATAAAAGAATGTCACACTTTTGCTACTACACTAGAATATTTTCTTATGTCAAGGTAATATTTGCCATATTTAAACAGTAGAGTTTTCGGACAAAGACAATTCAATTGAATCCCATTGTGTCCACCTAACTCCGCCTCTGCATACCTGATATAACAGCTAGGATAGAAAATCCTAGCACCCCTTTGCCCAGTACAGCAGACTGGGAACTTGGTTATCACAGTTTTAAGGCACTTTAGGCAGGCAGAAGTAGAAAGATCAGGAGTGCACTGAGAAAGTGCATAAATTGTTATCTGGTTAGTAAAATTGGTTTCTTTAGTTGCAACTTTTTTCCCTGAGCGATCGTTAGCAGCCTGAGTTGCAATTTCATCCATCGTGTCTCTTAGCATCTTTCTGAACCTATGTGGTTCAACGTTAATTGGGATTGGATTATGTTCCACATAAGAACTGGAATCATCTGGATGGATAAATATGGACGGATTTGGCTCAGGAAATATCGATTGATTTGAATATCGTAAGAAGCAGTAGTCATACGAAACCATAGCCATTTTTCTGTTGGGGCAATGCTGGATTATGTATTTAGTAGCACTACTCACACAATCTTGGCATTGGTTCTTGGTAGCATCATTTAGACAGAGAAACATGCCATAAATTGTTTCAGAACTATCTTCACCGCCAGTAGTGGAGTTGTAATAACTGTTTTTGCTAGAGGCATTTGATAAATTGGATAGTAGCAAATTGAGGTTAGATGGATAAGAGCTATTTTGACTGTAAGTACTGGTGTTTGAGCAGTCAAATCCCAAAGGTGTGTAGCTTCCATAACAACATCTTTGGCTGATGAGCAAGAAAAAAAGAACGAGGAATATGCATGGGGGAAGTGGGATATTCAAACTAGGCATTGTGCACATTGGGAAATTCACATAAGTTGTTGTAGCAAGGTGTTTTAAAAAGATTCTGGAAATAGATATTTAGTACAAAGACGTTGCTGCTACTTCTTTTCTCAGGTGGACTTGGATTTTAGCTAATTAGATAACGTTTGGAAAAAAAGTTAAAAACAGTATGTATAAGTTAGAACACTTGTCTACACATTTGAAGTTTTTTTGACGATTTTGTTGTGTTTTATCAGTGGAAGGCGAGATTTTTGAATAAATTGTTTAAAAATCACCCCTTAATCAACACTTCAAGAAAATAATTAAAAAGAACATTTGTTCCAAAAACTTTTAGAAAGTTTTGGATAAATGCTTTGTAACATTTTTTTTTTTTGCAAGTTTGGGGATAAAATGCAAAGACATATGTCAATCTCAACATCAAGGGGTGGAGTAGTACCCTCTATGAATCATATTTCCTGCTTTCAGTTTCTTTTTCTTTTTAATAGAAAGCCACTTTATGAGAGTGGAGAATTAGGTAGATTCCAACTTAAACTATATTACTAATCATTTCCATGCTTAAAAGCTTCTTCTTCTTCTTCTTTTTTTTTTTTTTTTTTTTTTTTTTTTTTTTTTTTTTTAAGTGTTAGAGCCAGTTACGTGTTTGGATAAAAGTGCTTGCACGTGATAGTAAGTATTTTTTTCTGTCAAAATGAATGAAATATCCTTAAAATCGGTAACACTAAAAAGAAGTTAATTATTACAAGTTTTAAATGCTAAATTGATTCCTATACAAATTGATTTATATCTAGTTCTCGTTAAGTTCTCAATGATTAGATAAAATTATTTTTAATATATATAAATTATTTATTTAAATAACATATAATAATAATAATTTGACTAAAATTGCCTATCAAGTGCGTCAATTGCCTGTCAAATAACATATAATAACAATCTTTCTCTTGCGTCAATTGCCGGTCAAATTTGGCATTAAAAGGAGTGTGTCGGGAAAGGGAGCAGCACTAGGAAGAAAGAAAGGAAAGGAAAAAGAGGGGAAAATAATGATGAAAGTAAAGAAAGAAATGAAAGGAAAAGAAGGAAAGTTATGGAAGAAGAAAGTAGAGGCTCCAACGAGAATGTAGAAAAGAAAAAGATAATATGTTTTAGGGTTTTCTATTTACGAGTAATTTCGGGATTAAGAAAAATTATAAGGCATAAGAATATAATATTTTTGGTCAAAGCAATATGACTTTTAAGCCAATTTCAAAAAATTTGGGTTTACCCAACTTATTAGTTTTGGCTTTTTTTTTTAAGCAGGTTGTAACTTTTTTTAAGCTATTTGTTTAGTTGTCAAACACTTCCAAAAATTAAAAAGTGTTTAATCCAAACAGGCTCTAAGAAGCAAGAAAAACAAATAAGTTAAATTCCAAAAGAAAAATTATACCTCCTCCGTTTCAATTTTTATCAATATATTTGATTGGGCACGAAATTAAATAGTAAAGGGAACACTTTTGCCATATCACTTAAATCTATAGCAAGTGACAAAAATACCTTTAAAGGCCCACTGATTACGTGGAAAACAGAGTAAAAAGAAATAAACAGTCAGAGCACACCAACGTGTCCCATTTCTTCTTAGTGTCCATTTCCCCATACTTTACTCCTTCCAAAGTCATAAATTAGTCAGCTTTTTTGAAGACTTGCGACAAATAAATTTAAAATTTTCTAAAATTATTTTGCAGGAAATAAGATTATGTATTGTTTGTTCTCTATAATCATGAAATGGTTGAGGTTCATGCATTTACTTAAGCTGTTTAAGGACCTACTACTAAGAAAATTAAATTTTCATTACAATTGCTATTCTTGGTCTGGGATTGCCAAAATTATTTTGTTGGAGATAAGATTGTTCTTTGTTCTTCTGTAATTCTGATGGTTGACACTACCATGCACACAATTTATAAGCAATTGTCTATTTTTGAAAATTAATTGGTGTTGTTCAGCTATAGGTTTTTAATAATCCTTGCTCGTGTTTGTTTGATGATTATCTTCATATCTTGTGAATTTGGTCAAATAGTGCAGCTTTATATTTTAATGCTCTAGCAGTTGATTAGGATGAAAATGGAATTATTAAGAAATTTACAAATGACTGAAAGAAGAAAAACAAAGAAGAGGAAATTTACTTGCAATAAGAAAGATCCAGGTAAACGTAAATGAAAATCTTGTCACGAGTGAGGAAGAAAAAATTGGAAAAGCCACGAATCAAATCAAACATGAAAAAGTTTGACACGTGCACAACGTTTTAAAGAATGACATTTCAACTTAATAAAACATTCATAAATTGTGTGATTTTTAAATTCAGTGGATCCAGATCAGTTTTTGAAAGAAAGAATAGGTAATACGGGAATTTAAATTGCTACCTAATTTAGAAATGATACATTTTTTTTAATGAACTAAAAAAGAAATAGGTTCGGGGTAATACTATATTTGGCATGTCCGAAATTAGATATTTAACTCAAATGTGTCTTTTCCACCAACCGATAGTGAGTAATAATGGTGAAGGTACTAGGTTCACATGGATCATAATTAACCTCTTTTTGATCTATATTATTATAAAAATTGTATTAAAATACTGTATATCTATCAATTGGAAACCATTATCACATTATAACAATAACAACAACAATAACAATCCAGTATAATCTCACTAGCGGGATTTGGGGAGGATAGTGTGTGCGTAAATCTTACCCCTATACTGGGGTATAGAGGCTGTTTCCGATAGACCCTCGGCTCCATCCCTCTAAGAACTCTCCACTTTGCTCTTGGAATGACTCGAACGCACGACCTCTTGGTTGAAAGTAGAGGGTGTTCATCACTATATATCATATTATAAATACTACTTATATATCTACCAATGCTGATCAACCTTAAATAATGCACCTACCGTCTTTTGTAATAATGTTATAGTGGAGGATCGAGAGGTGTGTCTACAAGAATCTCACTTTGGACAAGGAAAAGAGGCCCGCACAGCTTTATATCCTAAGTGGATCTCATTTAGAGTTTGAATATTATAGGAAATTTTATCCAGTATACACACTATTTATTATAAACCAAAATTATTTTAAAATATTATTTTATATAGCTACCTTTTATATTTTATAGTAAAATAAATATTTTATGGTATATACTACCATTGAGGCATGAAATATACTATTTATGTTTTTTCCTCTCTTAGACAGTTGGACATACCTATTTTTAAGGGATTGTCGTTATTGTATTCATGAATATATGTCCCGAATACATGTGAATACATGTGCGTACAACTGAATGACCCTGATTTTAGACGCTTTTTGTTGTTGTATTCATGAATACATGGCACAAATACATATGAGTACATGCGCTTACCGCTTGTTCCTTTCTCTTTTTGGATTACCAAGAGAAGTTTCATCAACGGTTACATATTGTGTAGAATCCAGAGGGGTTATATGGGTTAGACAAAGCTCCCATTTCTCTATTAGAATAGTATGCCGCGAATAAAGAGTATACAAAGTGTCACGACCCAAAATCCTAATATGTCGTGATGGCACTTAACGTGATACTAAGCAAGCTGACATTTCAAAATAATTCTAACACCCTTAACAGAAATGAATTAAAGTAGTTTAAATAATAAAAGTTCTCCTAAAACAGGGATAGAAACCCAAAATACAACGCAAAAGTTCCCAACTATCGAAGTGTTACAGAGTACATGATCATCTATACATCACAAGTCTGAAAAATATTATTTAATATAGTCTGAAACTAAATACAATAAGCGGAAAGATAGGGAAAGAGAGACAAGGTCTGCGAAACGTCGGCAACTACCTTGGAATCTCCAGAATATCAACTGTGCGCTGAAATCAACACCTATCGTGTGCGGAAACACCTGGATCTGCACACAAAGTGCAGGCTGTAGCGCGAGTACAACCAACTCAGTAAGTAACAAGACTAAATAAAGAACTGAAGGTAGTGACGAGCTTCACAGTCAAAGATCAATTACACTGATTTCAACATAGAAAAATAGGCATGCTTTCAAGTTCGACAATTAAAGCCAAAACAGTTGTCAAGTTCAACTGAAACAGAAGATAATATCTCTCAGCCATTTTCAAGACAGTGATATATGACAGCTCAAGTGCAATAATACTGAAGTCAATACATCCTCTCAGAGCAACAGTCACTCAGTCATCCCATTCACTCCAACCTCACGATCACTATTTCCTCACAATCACTCATTCCTCTCAATCACTCAGCACTCGGTACTCGGTACTCGCACTCAGTAGGTACCTGCGCTCACTTGGGGTGTGTACATACTCTGGATGGGCTCCTTGTCACGACCCAAAACTAACCCCTGTCGTGATAGCGTCTATCGTGGAACTAGGCAAGCCGACTCATTTCCAAAACAAACCGATATTTTTATTTTAAAGATAATTTTAAGGTTATTTAACATAAAAACCTTCATAAAGGAGTTCCAATCAAAATAAAAGTGCGAAAGGAAAAGTTTGACATCGGGGTGTCACTAGTCATGGGCATCTACTACAATCTGTCTAACAATATCAAGGATAACTCAGCCTGAAAAATAGCTAAATACAACTAGAGGAAGATAAGAGGGAGAAGAGCAGGGGCTGCGATCGCCAAACAGCTACCTTGCTATCTCCAAGAAAATCTGCAACCACAACACTCAATAACCGTTACCGTGACAAGCTACACCTGAATCTTCACACAAGGTGTAGGGAGTAATGTGAGTACGCCAACTCAGTAAGTAGCAACAATAAATAAAGACTGAGCAGTAGTGACGAGCAATAAAGCATATAACATTCATATCGGGAAATCTCAGTAAAATAC